GAGCAACCTGGTCTAGGGGAAGGTGTCCCTGCTGCTGGCAGGGGGGTTGGAACTAGATGATCTTTAAGGTCCCTTCCCATCCTAACCAATCTATGATTCTATGATCCTATGATTTTAGAGGCAAACAGAAAAAAATAACCCCAAACTATTCAAGCTCACACCTTCCCGTCCGCTCCAGCTCGGGACCGCTGTGTTTCTCTGGTTTGCTGTGAGAAGCATTGTCATCAGGAGCTCCTGGCATCTTCCTTTTTTCCTGTTAAATTGGAAAGATAATAAAAATAAGTGTTTGTAACCACTGGCTTCTGGTCTGGGTACGTGACTGGTCAAACTGGGACCTTGTAAATTTGGGCCCCTGACCAGCATCCGCGGTCGTGCTGCCGTCCTGCCCATCCCCCTCGCACCTCCCTCCACCACAGCACCCACCTGCGTCCCTCCACCGCAGCACCCACCTGCAAAGGGATGTTCTTCGGGGGCTCGATTCGGATCGAGGGATCCCACTCTCCTGGTGGCAAAACCGTGACCTGATCCAGGAACTCATCAATGCCAGCCACGAGGTCAGCCCTGTTCTTGGCTTTATAGGCAACGTCATGGAAAACCTGTCGACAGGAGACAACCTGGTGAGTCAACAACCCATCTCAGATGTCCTAACCAGTATGATAAGATCTTGGCTACAGGCAACAGAATTTTCCCCAAATTTCCTGTTGGAAAAGGGCAGGAAATATCCCCCCCCAAAAGGAAAAATCTGTACATTGTGATATTTGTTATCATCTCCACCAGGCTCCCGTCCCCCATGGCACACCACAGCCTTTTGCTTAAAGAGGAGAAGTTTTACTGGCCCTGGCAATGCCACCAGTGGGGACAACATGCTGGGGAGCACGGGGAGAAGGGTGAGGTGCAGGATGAACTCCAGGTGGGATTTCAGCCTCTGGGAAAGTGGGATGATGCAAATCCACGTGTTTGCTTTGGGGTGAGAATGAGGGGTGGGCTGTTTGGAGAGTTGTGGGTAGCTGGGACAGCAAATCATAGAATCATGGAATGGTTTGGGTTGGGAGGGACCTTAAAGATCATCCAGTCCCAACCCCCCTGTCATCAGCAGGGACACCTTCCACTAGACCAGGTTGCTCAAAGCCTCATCCAACCTGGCCTTCAAGACTTCCAGGGAGGAATCCTGGAAATCCTCTTCCTCACTACTACAGAGACAGGAAGAGGTGAAGAAAGCCCAAAATGACCCAGAGATATCTCTTATCTCGTCACACCTCGTCCGTCATGAGAGTAGCCATGGACCTGCCGATCTCATGGTACTGATGGGCTTTTCCTTCTGGTCCAAGCAGAACAAACAGGAACCTGAGCAAGAAAAACCAAACGAGAGAGAAGAAGATGCCTTTGCTCAAAGGGCACCCAAGGAAATCCCCAGGAGCTCCCAGTCCAGAGTGCAGCTCAAGAGGGGACATGTAGGTTCACCGATTCTGGTGGTGAATTTGAAATTCATCAAAAGCAATTACAAATGTAATTTTTGGGCCAACTTTCATTAAAATTGGCCAATGGGTTTAAAAGCTACAACAGGGAAAGGAGAAACAAAGGTGAGGAGATGTGGGTAGGAGAAACATGCTTGGGACACCAAACTGATGTGTGTTATTTGATGTCTTGTTGGGGTTTTTTTAAAGAAAAACTTTGTGCTTCTCATTCAGACCTTGTTGGGATGGGAACTTCCGTCATGCCTGAGAGGAGGACAGCTGGGGTCAAACGGACAAACGCCACGAGGGGCTGGTGAAGGAAATCCAACTCTCCTACCAGCACATTGGACGCCTCAGCCCCGGTGGGAATTTTCTTCATGAAGTGCAGCTCCGCCTGGGCAAGACAAGCGATTTTCAGGCAATGAACCCAAAAGCAAAGCCCACAGCCCTCTGCAGCACACTCTGCAGCCAAGTCTGGAAGAGCACATCTGGCTCTGAAGGCACAGGAAGTCTACAAGAGTCTCACCTTGCTTAAATCCATTGCACTGGTCTCATGGTTCACCCCATTTTTAGGTTCAGTCGTGGTGGGAGAAGGATGAGGGGTGAGTGTTTGAGCTGGCAGGAAAAAGAAAGACACTCAGAAAGACAGGCAAGTGCAATTGGGTCACTTTTCCTTTGCCAGGACAAGTCTAATGGGGCCAAAGCCCTGTAGAAACCTCCACTTGGTTCCAAAGCCCTGCAGAAACCTCCTCCTGGTGCCAAAGCTCTGCAGAAACCTCCAACTGGTGCCAAAGCTCTTCAGAACTCTTCACCTGGTTCCAAAGCCCTGCAGAAACCTCCACCTGGTTCCAAAGCTCTGCAGAAACCTCCACCTGGTGCCAAACCCTACAGCAACCCTCACCTGGCTTGTCCAGGAGGTGCAGGTCTGCCTGCTTCTTGCTCACATCAGCAAACGAGCGGACAATGGGGAGAAGGTTGTTCCTTTTCTTCTCGTTCTGATGGTGATGCTTCTTCAAAAGGACATCTCGAACTTTTGCCTGCATGCGCTCGTCGAACTCCACGGACTGTTCTTGCTGGCCCAGGATCATATCTGGGGATGGGAGAGGGAAATGAAGCCATCAGAGCCAGAAACCCGCCCTATAAATCCCCATTTCTGAAGCCCGCGGGGAAGGCTGTCTTTGCTCACCCCAAAGCAAACACATGGATTTGCATCATCCCACTTCCCAGAGGCTGAAATCCCACCTGGGTGTGCATCCTGCACCTCACCCTTCTCCCCATGCTCCCCAGCATGTTGTCCTCAGTGGTGGCATTGCCAGGGCCAGTAAAACTTCTCCTCTTCAAGCAAAAGGCTGTGGTGTGCCATGGGGGACAGGATGTCCAGCGGGACACTCTGACCCAGGCTCAGCTTTGCTCAGCGAGATTTTTTGATGCATTTCAGTGATTCTGTGATTCTGTGATTTCAGCTTTTGCAGCAAAAGCAAGGATCATTAGGCTGCCCAGGGAGGTTGTGGAGTCTCCTTCTCTGGAGACATTCAAGACCCGCCTGGACGCCTTCCTGTGTGATCTCATTGAGGTTCCTGCTCTGGCAGGGGGGTTGGACTGGATGATCTTTCGAGGTCCCTTCCAATCCCTAATATTCTGTGATTCTGTGATCTTCTGCTAAAAAAAAACATCATCCAAGTCCTTCCTCATCACTCCACTAAGAGAACTATTTCCCATTCTAAGTAATTCAATCTTCTTGCCCGATCTGCCCGTTCTGACTCTACACATTTAACCAAATCTTCAGCAATCTAAAGCACAGGTTCTCCCAGAATTTCCTTGGCTGATCAACTACAAATTTGCTGAGCCCAGGGATAAAATGTGCTAAGAATGGTTCCGACTCCTCCAGCTCTTGAAAGGGTTGAATGGAGACCTGACAGTCAAAGAGAATTTCTCCAAAGCTGCTTTTGCAATTAACTTCAATTATCTTCCTCACAGAAATACACTGCTTGGTCACCTGCCAGATAAACTCAGCCTTTAAAACTCTTAAATCCTTGATGTTAAGGCAAAAGGGAAAAAAAAAAAGATGTGAGGCAATGGCTTGTAATAAATAGTTTATTTAAGGAGGTTCAGCTTTTAGGCAGACTCCACATTTCTAAGAGCAGCCCGCTAAGCCCTGACACACACTGGGTTTTGGCTGCAGAATACTCTCTAATCGCTTCCCTAACCTCACAAATTGCTTTCAAAAGGATCTCATATTGGAAGACAAAGCTGGTGTGACTGTCACACACCTGGTCTACATCCAAAACTAACTCACAACTTCAAAAAAAAACAAAAACCAGCAGGACTTCTGGAAAAGGACCCATCTTTGGGGCAGGGTTTGATTCAAGAGTGAAGGGCAATGTGGTGAGTTGAGCTCAGCACTTCCTGGTGGGACGTGGCACCCACGGTACCTGCGATCTCTTCCACGCTGTTGGCACAAATGTCCAGCAGCATCGTGCCGTTGATGATGCAGCTCCGCAGCTCGAAGAGGCTGTGCAAGGACAACGTGGCCACGTAGGGCTTGCTCCAGCGCTCGCCACCATCTTCCACATCCTCCTCAAACTTCAGCCACCTGTGGACATAGGTGTGATCAACCCCGTGGCAAGAAAACAGCCTCAGCTCCACAGCCCCTTTGATAGAGCTGGAGGTGGCAAGAGGAGAAGGCTCCTCGTGTCAGCACCTGAAGCTGCAAAAGCAGAGCCCGTGGGAGCTGCCAGCACGGGGACTCTGCAGAGAGGGACCTGGAGGTTCTGGTC